ATGGAAATGGACAACAGGGGAATGAGAACATGAGTGTGGGGGGAGGGGGGAGGTGGGGGGTTATTGGAGGGATGAGGACACATTTGTAATACCTTAACCAATAAAGAAATTAAAGATTAAAAAAATAAAATAACATAAAAAACATTCATGAGACTTTGAGTCTTACCAAATGTTTGTCAAGGTTACTTGATCTAAGATAAACTTCTATTTTAAGTTTGTTAGGTTAAATAAAGCAGACATGTCTTTAGAGTTATTAGAATTAAATATAATACTTTATTCCACCTAGGTTTACTAAAAGTCAAATAAGCTCATGTTATCTCTATTACAAAATGTGTGAGCAAGAAAGGTAACCTCATATGTCAGATTGCCACTTCTGAGGAAGTTGAGACTCAGCTACATAAGAATAAGCCAGTTGGCTTAAGAAAATGACTCTCTAAAACTGGGTCTTTTTTAAACTTACTTTATCCTAATTGGTTTGGCTCTGAAATGAATTTCAGACATTGAGAATTATCCTATATAATAAAAGGCTAATATGCAAATTGGCCCCTCTACCAGGAGTTTGGCCAGGGGGCGGAGCCAGCCGGCCAACCTCTCTCATCCCCTCCCCCTGGCCCATCGAGATGGCCCCAATCAGAGTGGGCAGGCTGGACCCCTTACATGCATGAATTCCTGCACTTGGCCGCTAGTCATGCTTATAATAATTAGTCTCCTTGGTACCTCAAAAGTTGTAAACGCATGTTCACAGCCAGTAACCACCAAGAAGATGATCTCCCTAAGATTAGAACATCAGAAAAAGAGCAAGGAGAATGACTGACTTAAAAATGTGAACCCGACAGCATTACCTGTGAATACCCCACAGAGACTCAGCAAAAAAATAATGGAGGACTCCAAATCAGTAGCACGAATAATCAGATGTTACCATTCTTAACTGTCACACAGAAAATTGTATATTGGCCTAAATTACATGCACAGAGCAGTGAAGGTAGTCCCTGTGGAAATGTCTTCTACATGCTTTTCATATAATATCACAAACAAACTACCACAGCAATCCTATAAGATAGGTACTCGTAGGCCCATTTTACAGATGTAATTGAGGATTAAAGTTATTTAGCCACTTGCTCAAAATCATATAACCAATTAAGTGGCAAAGTCAGCATGTAAAGCCAATGTGAACCCTGGAACACCTGCACTGGTATCAGCTATTAAAATGCAGATTACTAATTCACAGAATAAGAATACAGACAAAATCCCTGGAGATGAAGCCTAGGAGTCTGTGTTCCTTACAAGCCCCCTGGGTGATTAAAGTTTGAGAATGACTAATGTAACTGATGAGTTGTCAGACACTGCCATGTTTGAAGGATGGTGAGGGTACGTATCACCATTGCTGGACTTGAGGAAGTCAAGGGATTCTGAAGCAAGGTGTTTATGTGCCTTCAGCACAGAGGCTGTATAGTAAACGGTTCTGAGTCATTGAGTTTTATGATGAGAGGACCATATACAACCAACCAACTCCAGTAGAAGATTGCTGTTTCCTCGTCTGCAAAATGAAGGACTTGCCTTAGATGATCACTAAAGTTTCTTCCTTCTCACATTTCATGATTTAACAATTCCTGGTTTCTTATCTTGATTTCCAACTCCAAGTGTGTTAACTACCCAGGGGGAAGGAGGAGTCTTCATTAATGATCTTTTCCTATGATATTCAATCTGCTCAACAGACTCCCCTAAATGGTTCCCTAGGAACAAAAGGCCCTCACTTGCCTCCTTCAGTATTTACCAAATAAAGAAAAGTAAACTGAAAGAAAGCAGATTAAAGAGGAAAAAACTGCCTAGCACACAGAGATTTTATCATCTGCTATATTTCATTTTGTGCATTTATATTTCTGCCTCTGAGCTCAGAATTCTTTGGGGGAATGTGTATATTTTGGACAAATTTAATAATAGAGACTGTAAATACATCCTAAATGTTGCTAGACCTGGAAGTAGATCATTAAACTTTTATGGAATCGACATAAGCTTGGGATCTGAAAAATCTCATTTTAAATGCTGAATATAGCAGCTTCCAAGCAAAGCACAAAGCTGATAGTATGTATTTAATCTCTATTAAGGCCTCTCAAACAATACATGTTTTAGCAATATTTAAATTCATTGTCACATTTTTTTCTGCAAACAAATTATTACAAGAATCTGGGATGTGGGATTTCAAATTTTGACATAATGCATAAATACTAGGACTATACAAATAAACTAAGAGGACTCTCTGAATACAGCCAATGTAATGACTAAACTAAATTCCTGAGAGACACCTAGTGTTTTACCCATTCAAACACTAACAGCTTAACTTCATGGCCAGACTGACACCTATCACACCTCTACCTTCTATCCCCTGAGCAAGGAATGTTCATTCTCTTCCTAAGAGATCATCTCTTCCAGTAAGTGTGCTATTCTTTCTTTATGCCCTTCCCTCAATGACATTTCATCCTGTGAAAAATGACTTACAGGT